GATTGCATGTTTTTTGTACTTTGTTAATCTGTGTTACAAATGAGATGAATGAAGAACTACTACTAAATATGTTTGAACTCATAATGAAAGTTGTTTACGCACTCTAAAAAAATGAAGTATGAAATTTACTCAACAAAGTCATGTCAACTAGCTCCACTAAACCTAGTGGAAACTAGGGTTGGGCAATATTGGCAAAAAACATCATGATTAATTGTGGTATTTAGCCGATAACGATTAATTTGACGATTTATCCCCTGGAGTCCCTTATTTCATAGTCACATGACAATTTAGTGGAAAAGATTTGCTCTTCGTAAAAATCTGTTCCAAATTGTGTCAAAATTACAGACTTCAGGCTATACATCAAATTTTAAATTGTGTTGATAAATAAATTACAGAACTTTATTTAATGTTCGTCATATTTGAAGCAGAGAGGAGCAGCGAGCGGACTCTACCTGTTGGCATTAATCATATTAATCGTCGAGTGCCAAAAATTAATCSATTAATGTTTTTCTGACGATTAATTGCACACGATACGATTATGCCCAACCCTAGTGGAAACTGAGCAGATAATATACATATTTTGCTCWATTTACTCAACCTGGTTTAGTGGAACCAATTTGGTTTAGTGAATTCAGCAGTTTATTTCTTATAGTGTGTAAAAGTACTTTTACTTTTCCAATTTTTGTGAACAGTTTTAGTAGTTTTCTCATCAGTGAAATTTAAAGTCATTTTCTGTTCATGTAACTTTTACTTAATTTTTTTCCCCAAATACTTTATAGACCTCTGTTAAAATGTATACTGTGTGGTAGCTAAATGGATTAGGACCTCCCAAACAAAAACTATCAGAATTCTGAGATTAAATATCAGAATTACGAGCATAATCCCGACCTAATCTCAGGGCAGAATAAAGTCTGACAGAGGGGGAAACTCTTCCTTGTGACTGTTTGGGAAATAACTAAAACTGGAGCTGAGTCAGTTTGGCTCCAACAAGCTGCTGCATGCAGTCTGCGTGAGTTCCCGTCAAACAATGACGTGAAGACGACATTTCTTCTGATGACAAAGTTTTTATAAAATATAAACCAGGCAGCGACTTCAACTAAAAACTAAGTTTACCGTTGTTTTCATTTCATTTTAACGCACGCGCCGCACTTACCTCCAGCCTCAGACGAAAAATAATAATAATAAAAAACAATAATTAAAAAGTGAACTCCGGTTAAGGTTCTCCACAAGTTGTTTACAKTCTTCCGTCCACTCGGTGGACCGTCTGGGAGGAAGATGATCGCTGACTCGGGAAGCAGAAGTTTTCACGGCTCCTCCTCGCGCTCACAGATCTGACTCCAATTAGGAGGTCCGTGCTGCCTTCAGGAGCCGTGGGAAGTTTCGGCTTCTCTCGCACAGACGACGAAACGCTCGACTCTTCAAACCACGCGTCAGGTGGAAGGGAAGGCGAGTAAACTTCCCGATGAGTCATATTTCATCCCGAGGTTCGCAGAGCTTGAACCGATTCAGCAGAAAATAAAAGCCCGGGYCAGAATCGAGCCACGGCTCTCTACCGCCCCCTGCTGCTCAGAGTTATCTGCGTGTCATTTCAGTGATGAAGATAATAAAATTATTCATCAGAAACTTCTAATAAACAACAAAACAGGAGATGAATTTATCCTACTAATGACTACACGAGGAACTATTTTAAAACTGCATTTTTTTTTGCAAAAAACATAAAAAACAATCAGCCATTTATTCTGGAAATGGCATGTAATGATTTAGCAACTTTATTATTTGTAATTTTGATACTACTGATATTATTTTTGGTTTTTATGGAAAGAATACTAATC